CCAATATATACAAGTTAGGAAGTATAAGAAGAAGAATTGTGGAAAAAAAATAAAAAAAATAAATTTAAAGATTAAAAATTTAAAAATATAAAAAAGACAAAAATACCCCCAAATCCAAAAACATGCGAAAAATTGATTTCCGCCACTATTTAACGGCCAAAATTAACAGAATGATATCAGATGAATTTTTTGCTTAGTATGTTGATCTTTTATACAAATAAATTTGATTGATGACTTGTATTAGAATTACCTAATAGTTCAATAACCCCTTTTGAGGTTCACTCTAAGCAATAATCAATAAAAGTTGTTCCAATTAGATATTTCACTGTGAAAAATCTCTTGGACCTGACCATTTATTATACATCTCCCCCTCCTAATAAAATCAGGGAAGTCAGAAGAATTGCAGGGAAATTTTTGGAAAAGATTTTGCAAAGGAACCACTTGGTGCTTGAAAACAACATGACCACCTGACTCATTTCAGTACTTTATGGAAATGATTGGGTGATATCTGCGGACTTTTGCCGCGGCACACATATAGATTTTTCTTTTGCTTCGACAAATTAATGACTGAAATTTTTTTTTTTCTAAATTTTCTCTATTAATAAAAGGTTTTTAAAAAGAGTTTAGTTTGGTTTCCTTTTGTCTTGGTTTCATATTCAGAAATAAGGAAAGGGGGAAGTTAAAAAAAAAAAAAAGGAAGAAGAAATTCATGGGGTTTTGTATCATAATAGAATAATTTAGGTTTCATTCGACTTGTAATATTGTGCTATTAAATTTTGTGCTCGCCAAAACAATTTCCCAATGAGCTGACCAACCATCAGGAAACGGCAGAATTAGCTAAGAATTTCATTTTCCAATACCTAGATGTAATCACTAATAACATTAATCAGTTCTTCATCATATGTAAAATAGGATAGAACATGTACATCTGGACTAGATGGATCTATTCAGAACGTTTTTTCAGGGTGTATTTTTTACTGTTAGAATGTAAAAAAAGTAATTGGACAATGTTAGATATGCTAGCTCGGTAATATGGAGAGTATATATTAATTCATTATAAATTGTGAGAAAATTTAATGAAGGTATAATTAAACAGAGGAAAAAGGATTTACTTAATTAGAAAAAATTTAAATTAATCGAGATAGTGATTTTAGAGTTTTGACAATGGAAGTGATCATGCATGAAACAAAGAATTGTGTTGAATGATGATATTCCTCCAAAAAAAGTGAAAAAGAAAAGGATAGGCTAGCTAGACAAATGAATTTAGGCCAGGGTATGGAAGAGTTAGGATGAAGATAGCCCAAAAAAAAGATACGAAAGAGCAGTAGTAAAGAAGGGGATGATGCAAAAATGCAGCAAAAAAGAAAGACAGAGCAGAGGTGACAGCTCAAGTTGAAACCAAACCTTTTGAAAGGTTATGGGCGGCTATTCTGCCGCTGGATGAATAATGATATTGTATTGTATGACCACTCATCCATCATTCTATTCAATTTCTTTTTTTATGTATTTGCCTTTGGCTTTGGGGAATTCGTATTCAAATTCTTCACATGCCATGCACCCAGGCCAAAAAAGCCTTTTTCTCCTTTTGTAATTAATATTGTGAACATCAGTCCATTAATCATCAGTTTAATACTCATTGTCATAGGCGCTAGACTGCTAGCGACTGGAATAATATTTCAGCAATGGGTTATGGTGACTAAATCCTCAAACCTAATGATGAAAAAAGAAAACAAGAAGAAGTAAGATGGATTATAGACTTAGGTTGAGTTCGAATTGAACAACTTGTAAAACTAGTATTTTAAGACATTTCTTTCATTGGAATTCCAAGTTTCCAAACCACGGCATAAATAGTGTAATGCATGCACAAGCCGAAGCCTTTATTAAGTCCAACAATATTGATGGGTCACCTCAAAAAAAAAATTTGAACGACCATTTTTGGACGTGCGCAATTGGAAACTTTGGTGTTTACACTGATTGTAGAACTTAAGCAATAAAGGCAAACTGTGTACATGCAGCAATCAAAAGGATTGTGATTTAACTTTAATCAATGTTAGTTGTTCAAATCACACAATGGGTTTATAATTCAGCGAAACGATCAATTATTTTTTGTTGACATATCTGAGCATTGTACTTGTGCAAAAAAATGTGTTTATAGAGGTAAGATTATTTACAAAATAAAAGATCTATTAAGGGTCCCATCTTCTCATCATGGGAGGATGGGGAAATTAAATTTGTTTAATCGTTTTTCGTTTTGGTCTTTATCGTTTAATAAATGAATTTATTCTCACAAATTAGTTCCTTCAACAGATTATTTAGATAATCTTTGGAGAGGGTATGGTTTTCTTGTTCGCAGTGTTTCTTCAGTAGATTTTTCTACTGAGAGGTAGGTCCGTTTTGCAGTGTTCGTAGCGGCATTAAAGATGTTCGTAACGTTACATATACCCCACGACGAATCAGTCACCGCAGATCTAATATTTAGATATGTGGTTTGGAGTTTTCAACAGAATTTTAAAGATATATTCGAAATCATATTCATATTCTGGTACGTGATATATCTGTCAATTATATGGGTAGATATGTATAGGTTTATTCACGGTAAATACAACAAAGTGATACATTGTAAGTTGTGTTCGACTGTTTCTTTGTATTAATCAATCGCAGTTGGACGATTTCCGGTAGATGAATGAAATTATTATTTTATTTCAAAAAAAAAAAAAATAGCCATCCAATTCGAACATGCATCATCCCCCACGCCAGTTCGTTACTCTAAATACGTAGTTGGAAGAAAAGCATTATTGCCCCCATCTCTCTATATCTCTCGGTGTGGCTTACTACATTACGTGCAACGTGTACATTAATCACAAAATCCCTCGCAGACATATGATATATTACATTTATTTTTTCCTTATTCGGTTTAAAGATATGTTACCTCTACAATATCATAAAAGCAAAATCAAAGTCCTAATCATTGTCAGCAAAGATGAGTTAAGACACCTTCTAAGTTGAATTAAAACGTGTTCTTCACTACTATCCTATACAATCAGTTGCAAAATTCGACTCAAATACACGGACGACTGATTTTGGCATTCATGTGACCTGACCTTCCTCCACAAATATATGATGCAGTGTCTCTGCATACTACACTTCTACTTTGTTGCAGAAATTTAATGGGAGTCAAATTTGGCTACTACCACTACCACAATCAATGCCATCACACTAGCGAAAAAAAGTCCCAATTATCGGCACCATCAAGAACCCTGATCGGAGTAAATGTGCCAGTTTGTGTAGCTACGGAATCTAGGACAACGTGTTATTTACGACTACTCTCTAGCGTTATGGTCGGTGATACTTGGCTTCTTTCAATCGATTATTGAATATATGATATTAATAGTAGGTCCTTGTTTTTTCCTTTTCTTTTAATAAAACAATCGAGGACATTTTGTGAATTTGGATGGAAGTTTCCTATTTATAACTAGATGTATTTGGGAATGAAGATGGCCTAGTCGACTAATAGGTCATTCGAGGATTTAAATCATTGTAAATACTCCCTCCGTCCCATAATTATTGTCCACTTTGCCCAAAAAATTTTGTCCCAAAATTATTGTCCAATTTGACTTTTTATGGATCAAGTTACACATTTGTCCTTAGTAAAAAACATTATCCATAAAATCTTAGTGGTTAAACAATTACTTATGTAGGGGTATATCCGGTTGTTTAAGGTAAAATATAGTTAAATTTGACCAAAAATAAAATCTTTCATTTTAGTAAAACTGGACAATAATTTTGGGACGGAAGGAATATGTAATTATTGAATTATTGATTGAACCGTTGAGTTAGAAAATATATAAACATAATGTACAATCGTTTATGTTTTGTTTGTTAGTTTAATGATTTACCTAGTGATTCTTTCAATCATTATGTTGGATGACAGTTTCAGTACTCGAATCAATGTCGTCTATCAGAAAGTATTTTTAATTATTCTTTGGAGTGACATTCAGTTTTGGATAATATAATAGATTAACAGTACTATAAGCTTATCTTTTTGTAGAAGTTAAAATCAACTCAGATCCTTGGTTTTATGGAGTACGTAGTGAAATAAAGCTATTATCCAGGAACATACAGCTACGAACGATCGATTAAATTAAGTTTCTTTTGCAATTATCATTACAGTATTATTTTTTTTTTGGTGACAAACAACAAGGACGAATAATGAAGCTTTATGCGATAAAATGAATGTGTTCAACAATGTGAAAAAAGTACCTGATCCATCCCGTTTAGAGAATTTGGCGTGTCATTGACTCATTAAGAATAAAAATAAAATAAAGTAATAATCTCTCTATTTCATTTTAATAGTTTGTGGTATTATTATACTAATAAATAAATTTAACAAAGTGAACGACTAAAATAGAACAGAAAGAGCAACAATTCAACAAGATAAAGAATCTAGCAAACTTTAATTACCATACTTGATTTTCACTTTGTGATAATGTTGATGACCATTGAATGAGATCAATTAGATTACAGATATAATCAGTTCATCGAATTAATGTATTAATACTACTTTTACTCAAGAAAATAATTCTCATTAAGTTAATCTCATAATTCAATTTGCATTTTTTTTTTCCTTGAAACAGAAGAAGTGTTAAATTGCATTGGCATGGATTAGAAAAAGACTCGTGTGGTGGTAGCATCACTTGCCTCCCAATCTCTTGTTTAATCTATTTTTTAAATATTTTCTTATTTGTTATACTGTTTTAGTTCAACAGACATGATTCTTTCTTTGTAACAGATGAAATATCATTTGAGTAAGGAGGATTCTTTGAATAAATTTTTCTTTTTCAAAGGGCAAAAACCATTTACTCATTGCCATACAGCAAGAGAACAAAAGCACCAACCGAAATGATCACCAAAGCAATAAAAAGGTTCGCACAACACGTGCATGCGCCCTACAACAACAACTTGGCAACGTCCCACAAAAAATGCTTTAGAATGCAAACAGAAATAAACCGCTTGCACCTGGCAACTTCGGTTTTTTGAGTCCTCCCCATGGTCCCTATTGTAGACCAAAGACTTTGGTCTTATTCAAAATTTGTAACAGCTAATTTTTCCATCCCAAAATAAAATCACAAATACAACAAAAAAACGTTTTATTTTGAAATGAAAATATGAGGTACCTCTTTAATTTACAAATGTTTGCCATGCAATTTATGACGCGCTTTTAATTTTGCCCCTCCCCAGCACCCCTATATATTCCCACCTCTTCTCCGCTCCATTTTCCTCACCAAGAGAACTCATTCTATCTCCTTTACTTTAGTGTTAGAGGTTCAAATCTTAATTCCCTTCTCAATTACAGAAAAATGGAGATTCTTGGTTTGCTCATAATTAGCTATCTTTCCTTGTCCAAAATTGTTCATGGCTTTGATGAGGGTTGGAATGAAGCTCATGCAACCTTCTATGGTGGTGGTGATGCCTCTGGCACTATGGGTAAGTTATGATACATCCATAAATATAGTCTTCAGTAAATTACGAATTATTTCCTCCGTCCCAAAATAAATGTCTTACTGATTGAATTTTTTTTTTTTTTGAATTTTTTTTGGGGCAGGAGGAGCGTGTGGATATGGAAATTTGTACAGCACAGGATATGGAACAAACACAGCTGCATTGAGCACAGCATTGTTCAACAATGGGCTGAGCTGTGGAGCTTGTTTTGAGATTAAATGCGTGAATGACCAGAAATCATGCCTTCCTGGTTCAATTGTTGTCACCGCTACCAATTTTTGTCCTCCAAACAATGCACTCCCGAACAATGCTGGTGGGTGGTGCAATCCACCCCTCCACCATTTTGACCTTTCTCAGCCTATTTTCCAACAAATTGCTCAATACAGTGCTGGAATTGTCCCTGTTGTCTACCGACGGTATGAATATATTTACAATCTATTCTTCTATTCGAATATCGAATTTTGGTATGGCACTCTTGTATACCATATAAAATAGTCTTTGTTAAACTATAACAAAATTAATTGGCCGACTTAATAAATATACTTGTAAAGTGCTAATTTAAATTTTGAAACAGATTGATTGTATCATAGGTAAGTGATGTTTATTTTATCAAAAGTGTCACAGAAAATTCTGACGCTAACGTTACACTAATTTTATTTATTTATTTTTTGTAGGGTACCATGCCAAAAGAAGGGAGGGATAAGATTCACAATAAATGGACACTCATACTTCAACTTGGTCCTAATCACAAACGTTGGAGGCGCGGGTGATGTCCAAACCGTGATGATCAAAGGTTCAAGGACTGATTGGCAACCAATGTCAAGAAACTGGGGTCAAAATTGGCAAAGCAACTCTTTCTTCGACGGTCAAAGCCTCTCATTCAAAGTCACCACCAGCGACGGCCGCACCGTAGTTTGCAACAATGCCATTCCGGCTGGCTGGTCTTTTGGTCAAACCTTCACCGGTGCACAATTCAACTAAAATTTTTAAATTAATAAAAAAGGAGTGAAGTTTATAACTATTATGGGGCATAATTAGAGTTATTAGTAAGTAATTAAATGGATAGGGCTTATTTTAAAGTGGTCCTAACCATTGTTTTCTTAAACGTAGCTTTGTGTCACTTAAAAGTGTGTTTCTGTCTTTGGGTGTTTTTTAAAGGAGACAGAATATGGCAGGGGTGGATTAATTAAGGTTGTTCTCTTAATTAACCACCCGCCGTAGAACTTTGTGGCATTTTGATTTAGTTTACTTTAATCCTATTTAAGTTGATTAAAGTAACATTTTAGAGCTCGAATCAGAATTAGTTAGGTTGTGATGCGTCCCATGTAATTTGTGTAATCAGTCAGTTCGGCAGCAAAAAAAAAAGCTGAAATGATGAATGAATGTGTTATGTTGTTGTCGCCTTCTTTTAGCAAAGGCGTGGTCTTAATGAAATCTGTGATATGTCAGAGACTGTAAAACCGTTATTGTTGTCTGGTTCTTTTCATTGAAGAAATTAAAAAGTGACCTTGGATATTGTGTTTGGACTTTGGAATCGATCCTTGCCTCAGTTCGGTCACCATGTGAATTTTGTAGTTCTTCTACCGCGCCTAACTTTTAACTTTGAGAAGATATACTCCCTCCCCTGAAATTATTATTCAGTTTGAGATTTCACTTTTAATACAATTTAAATTAGAAATGAAATTTCAAACTGGACAATAATTATGAGACGGAGAGAGTACTTGTATTTCAGATTCCCGCTACGCCAGGCCCCTATTTTCATAATTTAGGTTAAGTTTTGATTATGAATATAAAATTAATCTGTAGTTAAATTTTTTTCTAGTTATGTTCTTAACATCATCAAAACTAATGAAAATTGAAGTTAAACAAATGTATCAACACAAATGAGGAATTATTTTTATTAATATTTGGCAAATGTCTTACGTATTATATTTTATACAAAACTTGGAATAAAGATAAAACTTGGAATAAGTAATTGACAAAGAACTTATTTCTTGTTATAACTTTACAATATAAATCGATAAAGATTTACATATTATCCAAAAAAGGATTTTATTATTAGCATTATTGTTATTATTATTTTGTGGATAAAACAATGAAGTAAAAGTATTTTATTTTAATAATGATTGTAAAATTCAAACATTATATGGATTTTATGTGCAAAACGACAAAATTCTGATTCTTGAACCACCTAAGTGAAGAGGAAGACCCAGTTAAAACTCTCTTATATATATATATACTAAGTATGTAACGTAACCCGTGCGTTGCACGGTAGGTATTAAGATATTATTATATAATGTGTGTAAAATAATATTAATTATACATGTCACAATTAAGTATAATAATTGAATCACATTTTTATTGTGAAATTATCGCGATTGCGACTGGTCCTACCTCTTATCTATTGTCATCGCAAAACATGTGATGAATGGAATTGCCTTCGTATAAGAGGATTGGGAATTGCTTTCGCTTAAGAAGAAGAACCGACGAACCTTATTCCGTATTTATTTTTATCTTTCTATTTTTATTTTGTTGACAATCCATTGAACCAAAAAATGAAAAAGAAAAAAAGAAACCAAACATTTACTTATTTTTTTAAAGAAAAATTCTTTAAAAGTGTTACCTATCTCTGAAAGATATGTCTTTTATAGGATCTTATTCCATCTTCATTTTCATCTTTAAAAAGTATGTCACTTTATATTGTTCTGCATGAAAAAAATTCCAAGTCTCGGGTAAGTTAAAAACCAGCGATGGTTTTGGCTGCAATTTTAGTTTTTTTAACAATTTGTTGAACAAAAAAAATTAAAAAACGAATAAGAAACGGCGAAACTCATTCCATCTTCATTTTCTTCTTTTTATCTTCATTTTTGATAATCTGTTAAAAAAAAAAACGACCGAAACATTATTTACTTGTCCAAAGAAAAATTATTCAAAAGTCTTATTTATTTACTTGTCAAAAGACATTTTTAGGTCTTCGACCGGGGGAGAAGGGGGGGGGGCTGCATTTCAAACCTATTAAACACGATCACCATTAATCACCCTAAAATTTCAAATATTCTCAAATAAACTCATGTCTCGTTTTTTTTAATCTATTTATCTACCGTTAAAAAAAATAAAAATTAGAAAGTAACTCAAATTTGATAGTGTAGAATAAATATCTGATCTGTAATAGTCCATTATTGGGATTCTAAGAGTTTAAGGGAATTTTGACTGCTATTTTAGTACTTTTTGACAGTCTGTTGAAAAAAAAAAAAAACAAACCGGTAGATCTCATTCTATCTTCATTTTTATCTTTCTATCTATGTTTTTGACCACCCATTGAACACAAAAAAAATAAAATAAAATAAAAAATTGAAACACTACTTACTTGTCCAAATTGTTTTCGAAAAGTATTATCTACTTAAAAAAGGACCGTCTTTGAATTTTCGGATCTTATTCCAGCTTAATTTCCATCTTTAACAACATGTCATTCTGTATCGTCCTACTTAAAAGATTTCGAGTTTTTGGAGGTAAGATAGTTTTGCTGTATTTAATTATTTTTTGATAACCCGTTGAATAGAAAAAGAAGAAGCGGCAAATCTCATTCTGTCTTCATTTTTATCTTCCATCTTTGTTTTGTTAACAACCCGTTGAACCCTCCCCCCCCCCAAAAAAAAGAATCAAACATTAGTTGTCTGAAGAGAAATTCTTCAAAAGTGTTATCTAATTATGAAAGAATCGTCTTTCAGCGGGTCTCATTCCATCTTTATTTTTATCTTTAACAGTACGTGACTCTCTATTGTTTTGGTTAAAAGATTCTGATTGTTTGGTAGGTTGAAAACAAATAATGGTTTTGGTGCAGTTTTAATATTCTTTTGACAATCTCTGTTGAACCACAAAAAAAAAAAAAAAGAATACAAACTGGAAGATCTCATTCCATCTTCATTTTCACCTTTTCATCTTCGTTTTCGACAGCTTGTTGAACAAAAAAAAAAATTAATAATGACCAATAACTTTTTACTTATTCAAAGAGAAATTCTTCAAAAGTGTTATTTAATTTCTTATCCAAAGAGATTTCAAGGTCTTGGACACAGTAGGCATATGCGTTTAGATAATAATCTTTGAATTTCATTTTGTTTTTACCACCATATACAAAAAGAAAACAAAACTCGTTTCTTGATCTAAACCCGTCAAATACCATCACCACAAATCACCCCAAAATTTCAAATATTATCAAGTAAACTCATGTCACATATATAAACTTATATCGCGTTTATCCATCTCTTTGTCTGCGGTTTACAAAAAAATAAAAATTAGGAATAAAATCAAATTTGAATATGTAAATAAATATTGACAAATTTAAAAATTGGGATATTTAAAGGAATATTGACAAAAAGGTGTAATGTATTCTGTTCCTCGTTAAGATATCTTTCGCAAACCTCTGGAGTAGAGCGTCGAGTTCTTGTCAAGAGAGTTACCAATTTTCACATAGATTAACAAAACTAAATTAACTAATAATTTTTATTTTAATCTCCTCTAGTCAATATATTAATAATTCTTAAACCATAATTTTAATTAATTCTTGAAAATGATTGAAACTAATTGGGACCATTAGAACGTTCTTATTTTCAAATTATCAAATATTGATAACACATATATAATTTATTATAGTCATTAATTCATTATCAAATTAGTACAACCAATCCAGAAAAAAAAAAAAAAAAAAGGGTAAGCAAGCATTATTCCAATTAATATTGATTAGAAAATACTATAGCCACTAATTATTATTATTTTAGTTAATTAGTTTGTATCAGTTGTAAGAGTATATATCATAATATAACTTTAAATTTTTGTCCATATCTGGTATGGGCGGCTTTGTGTTAAATTAAACAATACTAACAGATCAAATGGCATTGCTAATCGATATTCCTTTATGATAGTATAATAAATTAATAAAAACTCTCCATAACTACACCAGAGGGTAATACTACTTTCATGGTTGTTTAAATTTATTGTGTTCGAACTTTTAATATAAATTTATGCCTTTTTTATTCTTTTCAGTCCCTCAAATATATTTTCTCAACAATTTCGTAATTAGCAAAAATATTGCAATATGGAACGCATTTTTCACAAGTTCCATTATTTTGTTGTTTAAATCTCTATATGTATCGACTCCCGACACGCATCCTGCTTTCGAGTCAACTTGAATTTAGCCCATAACCAAAAAGATAACTTATAAGGCACAATTGTCCTTGAAAGTGTAAAATTGACGAACTTGAAGAACCAGGTAGCACATCAATGGAGCTTTAAGGATCAAATTGACAACCAATTAAAAGTTTCAGCTTTCAAGTGCAAGGGTTCCTGGAGACATAGGGCTTTTTAGCAATTTTTAAAAATTTTTCATCTTCAACCTCCCGATATGAAATTTTTCAGCCAAAAAATATATTTGCCGGCCAAAGGGATCCATGTCGTTGCACCCCGATCTCGCATTATGGTGCACAAAACTCATCGTTTTTAAGTCAAAATGATCCCCATGATGAGCTACAGAAAACCCATGTCTCAATTCAGCCGATCTATGCTGGAATCAGAGCTAATGAGGTTGGAACCAAGAATCTTGCCGGGTTCTGTTGACACTTTATCTTCCGCCGTTCTATTCTTCATCGTTCATCGCTCGCCGTTCTATTGGTTCATTGTTCATCCGTTTTGCCGTTTCGCTCTGTTCAACCACGCGAAACAATCCCCATGATGAACTCCAGTCATTCGCGGTGAGCTTATTAATAAATTCATAAGAAACCTTGTCTTCAACCTTGAGATTTGAAATCTCACACAGTCACACACAAAAGGGTTCCGTCGCTGAACTACAATATTGAATTCAGACTGTTAAAATTTACCCTTTTTTACACAAAAATGATCACCTAAAGAGTTCCACAAAACCCCTAAGAAAGGCAAAAAGATTAAATGGTAACACGAAACATCAATGTTTTTAGTCGGAAGTCGGATTTATGATGATCATCACGATCGTAGATGTCATCAATGCTGAAGAAGGACAAATCAAATTAAAAGCATCTGTTCCTATTTACGTGTCTGACTAAAAGTCTAAAACCACAAATATAAATTAATTTAAATTATACTACCTCCGTCCCAAAAAATAGTCCAGTTTGAAAATGTACAACTTTTTAAATTTGGTCAACACACCAAATGTACAACTCATTTTATGCCCCTAAATCCATAATGCCCCTTCTAGTTATTTCTATAAAAGCTAACTACATATGCATTTATTTTACAACTTAAATTTGATCAAAATTTTTATCTCAAAAAATATTGACAATGGATCTTGATGCAAAGATCTCGTTACGTAGATTAATTTGATATATAGTACATTTTTTTAATTATTCATGCATTAAAAGATATAATCATTTGAAAAAATAGGAGAAAGCTAAAAAAAATGAAAATCAAAGGAAGTGAATCTTATTTTCCTTATCACTACTCTTTTAGATATTTAAGTCATTTTATTTTTGACTCTTATGAAATGGGATTATTTTTTTGGGACAAGATTTTTTATTAAACTGGACTATTTT